GAGTGTTGTAAAGAAATAAAAATCAAACCCTGTTCTGGCGAGGTTCCTGCCTTTTCAGGCCGTATTTTCTATATATTGAACAAAAAGAGGGAGAAATAAAACCCCCACACAGAACGCAGCAGCCTGTTCTGAAAGTGAATCGTTGGAGGACTGACAGTAATGCATTTTTTCCTACTGAAAACAGAAGCTACTGTAATGCTTTCAAATATATGCAAATGATACATGCGGTTAGTGGTTTGGCAAATCTTGATTACAATATAAACTACCCAAGTAAAAGTGCCTTCGTCCTAAATTTGTCTCTCGATTACAATTCCAATTGATTTTATTTTATTGTCAACATTGTTAATGATAAAAATAGAGTCGTTTTACAGTTATTTTTACTTTCTGGAAGGAGGCAATTAGAGTTCTAATCAGGAATACACAAAAATCTCCCATGATTAACTGCAGTACTTTGTTCAAATTGCTGCTATAAAATTCAGAACAATTTGCCTGTAATGATTATGGACTGGGTTTATTTTGGGAGGTGGAATAAAAGTGGATATAGCATAAATTATCCTCTAATTATACACCAGTGTCGCCTCAATTATCCTCTTATCAAAATGGTTGTCTAACTGCCGCATTTAGTTTCAATTCTCTCCTTTTTTTCTATAAAAAGAACTTCATACCTTGTTATTATTAATCCATTTATTATTTGCAAGGGGATTTATATCCGCACATCCAGGTGGTAGAACCACTTCTCTTTCAAAGATGGACTGGGGAAAGACATTAAGTTCGGAGCAGCCTAGTGCTGCGGATCTAGGCTTTCTCTCTCTAGTCTCCAGACCTGCTCAGGTCCAGGCAGCGGAACAGAGACAGCGGAGCCCTGGCGCGCAGCTCAGGCTCGGCCACCAGGTAGGACAGCCGGACCAGGAACCAGGCTTGCCAAGGGCAGGCCGGGCCGCGCCTGCGGCCGGGTCTCGGAACTGCGGAGAAGCGCCGGGAGTCCGCACGGCCAGAGGATCAGGACCGGGTGGGCAAGACATGCGGACCCCCACGGGCTCGGCGCCAGATTTCGGTCTGCGCGTAGACCCCACGCTACGAGCCTCTGGCCACACGCAGAAATGTAGGATCTAACAACTCCTCGTCAACGTGTCTACAGGTTGCGGGTACGAATCTGGGTCTTTCTTTGGGAAAGCTACTGCGGGCTTCTTTGCACCCTGTTTGCTTGGACTCAATAAGTTATGCCACCCAAGGAACACGAGAAATGGACAATTCAGTGGTGCCCCCGTAACTCCAGAAAAAGTGGCTGCAGACGTAGCTGCTCGGACTCTATTTACATATTGCGTGTCACTTCGCCAGCAGCAGCTTATGCTAATTGATTCGCCCAGCTCGCGGCCCGGGGTCTACCGGCATCGCCAGGCTAGTTTGCCTTTTCCTTTCTTTCTCTGCTTCCTTCCTCCATTTTATCAGATGACCTGAAGCTCGCTGTCGGTGGGTTTTCTCCAGGGTTCCCAGGGCAGCAGCCGTTACGCTCCTCTCCCCCTCCCTTTTCCCAGCCCGCAGCGCTTAACTTCTTGAGCCTCGGGAGCCGGTTCAGTAACTCTGAATTCATTTTTAAGTGGCGTGCCTTGTTCCCCTCCCTTTTACAAGAGGTACACTTTAACACGCGAATCAGTAACCCGATCCACGCGTTTACAAATCAGCAGTGAATTAAAACGACAACAAAAAAGCTTCAAGGAAAAGGAAAAGAGGGCTGGGTAAGGGGGAAATGTGTGCAGTGTGTGTATATGTGTTGGGGGGACTGAACGGGAGGTCAGAGAAAGAGACGGTCCCCTCTCCTTCGGCGCGCTCTCGGTGCACCCGGGCTGCGTGCCGAGCTTGTTTGTAATGTCCCTAAAGCCAGCAGGTAGACGTGGCAGTTTTATTGCTTTATACCCTGCAGCTCGCTGTTAACACGGTAAAGGCGGTCTCCCCCCGCCCCAACCCACCCCCTGTGCATGTCTATGTTTCTGTCTTTATGCTCGCAGGTGCACTGCTTTGCTCGCTGGCCGCACCCCGAGCCGGGCCCGAAGTGGCGGGGGGCCCGGAAAGGTTCCCACACGGAGCACCAGATCCAAGACAGCAGCCTTTATTTGCAAAGGGGTTATTTTTTTTCCTTGTTGTTTGCTAAATGCCCGAGGAAGCCCCGAGGGCTGGAATTGCCCGCGCTGTGGATGCAGGGCTCTCATTTCCCCCCCTTTAGATAGCGGATAAAATCCCAGCAGTGTGTTCCAGAGGAGCAATCGAGCAGCTGCACCGAGGTAGTAGTTGTATGCAGCGTATGGTAAAGGTCCTGCTGAGACCTGCTGAGAGATCCAGTTTGGGCTCAGTCAAGTGCTGGGAGTGGAGCGAGCCAGGGGGTCCCTCCGGGCTTGGTAGAGGTCTCTGTGAGTGCTTGCCGAATAGAATCCAAACTGCAGGCTTGAGCGTCCGGCTTTTCCGCAAGTCCTGGGAATAGGCAGCCGGAGAGCTAATCTGGCCCTACAGAGGGTGCCAAGGTGCTCAGCGAGTGGCTGCCAATGTGGCCTCTGTCAATGGTCTGGGCGCGAGGAGATCAGCGCACAGTAGCTGTCTGGGGCAGAGACCGCTCCCCGCGGTTATTTCTCTCCCATCTCTCAGCTTCGGAGTCCTTCGTCCAGTGTCATTGGCGGCGGTAATGAGCCAAGGCAAGGCGGTTGGAATCACCGCTGGTTCGTTCTATTCCAACTCGCATCTCCAGCTCTTCTGCAAGAGGCAAAAACTCTCGGATTCTTCAGGGCCTCTCAGCGAAGGCGCGCTCCGCGGGTCTCCAGGCCCCTGCGCCCGGCTTGCCGCCACCCGGGGCCTGGCTCCTACCTCTTTGTCTTGCCCTCCGGGGAATTAGGGCCAACCCTGGGGCGGGTGGGGGGTGGGTGTGAAGAGGAGGGCAGGTGAGGCCTCTAAGTCTTTATCATTTAAAAGAGAAGTAAAGCAGGCAATCTGGAGGAGTCAGAGGCCTAAGACTCTTTTAGGCCCTGTAGCACGTGAGGATCCTATTTAGGAAGAAGTTTAAGAGGCAGAAATTGACGCCTAAACTGTTTTTTAACGTTTTTTTGCTTTTTAAGGTGTTGAGATGTTGGGGCGCTTATATTCCGTCTGCCAATGTTATTTAGAGAGAAATACTCACGGATCGCCAACATAAGATTGCGTGGGTCCGTACGCCCAAGGCCACCGTGGGAGAAATGGCATCTTTGGATGGGAATATCTCCTGCTATGCTAGCTGTTTGCGCGCACGCATAAGCTGTGGACTGTGTTGGGTGCCCAGTCGAGGGTTTGCAGCTTCCTCCACCGGTAGAAGTACATTCAAGCCAGGCAGGACCTGGCTGATTTTGGTTGCTAAGTTGGGCTCAGTTATCACGTTAATTCTAAAGAAATTAGACCTGGATAAATAGCTTTTGAATTCAAAGAAATAACTCGGTATTGATTTACATAGCCATGCTAAGAACCCCCTTCTCAATCGGAGACGTTGGTAGAAAAAAATCCTACTAGTCTTTTCTCCATTCAATGTAAAATTCTATTTATGTGCGTCTGTAGAAAAGGGTGCTTGATGTACTGGAAACCCAGCCCCCCACCCCCTTCAGCACATGGCACCTGGGAAAGCTGGGAAGGAAGAGGCAAACAGGAGAGCTGCCCCTTCCCCCCTCTTAGCCCAGGCCAGTGATGGTATCTTCAGGAGTAGCCAAAAGTATCAGACTATGCAAGAAAGCACTGAGATTGTCACATTTCCTATGATAAAACTATAATGCCCATATTAACACACTCCTCTCCCAGGCTCCCCAAAATCCAGCTAAAAAGTGGGTCCTGTTTACTTCAAATCCAGACAGAGACTCACTGAAATCTGGGAACAGCATCTCCCTTACCTCTCCAGTCCTGGGTCTCAAGATCAGCAAACCCCAATATGGGTGGCCTGGTCCACTAGGACCAGTGATACCAATTGGGGGCTTCACAGACTTTTTCTAAGCCGTCCAATTTGGAGAATATTAGCTAAGCATATCCAACCTAGAGGCTCCTGCTTCAGGTCTTTTCAAATCTGGAGTCTAGTGGAGCTATGAAAAAGAAATCCTCAAATTCAACAACTTTTGCTTCTCCCTGACTTATTCTCATGGCAGTATGAACATCCAAACCTTTCTTAACAGGGAGCCAATATGCTGGGCCTAGAATGGAATCAGGGGGGGAAAGAGCACGTTTCTGCTTTCCCCAGTTTGGTGATTATATACAAGAGTCCTTCTTTCTCTCTCTCT